TTTTGTTGGGAAACCCTACTCTGTCTACCCTACAACCTTGATCTCTACCTTTTAGACTTCTTTTTGTTCCCTAAACTCAAAGAGCATTTAAAAGGAAAATAACTTGAGTCCTTGGAGGTTGCCAAAGCTGCTGCATCACATTTTGACATGGTGTAAACCGAAGCACACAGAATCCTTCAGGGAATGGTTAGAGAAATGAAAACACCTACTTCAGAATTACATGTTGTTGTTAAGTGCCATTAAGTGGATTCTGACTCAGCAACCCTGTGTAGGGTTTTCTGAGGAGCAACTGGTGGGTTTGAACCACCCACCTTGTGGTTAGCAGTCCTACAGTGTCACACCTGGACTCCTCAGAAGTATATAGACCAAGAATATGTTGAGAAATAGTTGTTTCCCATTTTGATATTTTTGTCTAATAAAGGTTTCTATGATTTTGGTACACAGAGTCACTGTACCAAGAAGAAATGGTTGCTGTCCAACCATTTCAAGAGGTAGCATATGATCAAGAGCCAATGGTACTGAAGGAAGAAGTGCAAGGTGCTTTGAAGGAATTGGCAAAGAACAAGGTTCCAGGAATTAATGGGATAAAAATTGAAATCTTTCAACACACTGAGGAAGCCTTGGAGGCACTCACTCATCTATGTGAACAAATTTGGAAGGTAGCTAGCTACCTGGCCAACTAACTAGAAGAGATACATATTTTTTCCCATTCCAAGAGAGGTTACCCAACAGAATGTAGAAATCATTGGACAGTATCATCAATATAACATGCAAGTAAACTTTTTGCTAAAAAATAATTAGAACATGGCTGTACATTGACAAGGAGCTTCCAGATGTGTATGCTGGATTCAGACAAGGATGTGAAACCAGGGATGTCATTGCTGACATCAGATGGATCTTGGTTAAAAGCAGAGAATACCAGAACGATGTTTACCTGTGCTTTACTGACTATGCAAAGACTTTAGACTGTGTGGATCATGACAATCTATGGACAACAGTGCAGGGAATAAATATTAAACACTTTATTGGATATAATAATTTTGTATAAATGAGTATAAGCACTTAATTGTGCTTATGAGTGACCTGTACATAGACCAAGAGGCAGTTGTTCAAACAGAATAAGGGAGTACTGAATGGTTTAAAATTAGGAAATTGTGTACCAGGGTTGTATTCTTTCACCATATTTATTCAATCTGTATGCTGAGCACATAATCTGAGAAGCTGGATTATATGAAGAACGTGGCATCATTGGAGGAAGACTCAATCTGTGATATGCAGAGGATACAATCTTGCTTTCCTGAAAGTGAAGATGACTTAAAATACTTAACTAATGAAGATCATAGACCACAGCCTTTGCTATGGTTTTAACTTCCATGTCAACAAAATTAAAATCCTCACCACTGGACCAATAAAAATATCCATATAAATGAAAAAAAAAATGGAAGTTTTCAAAGACTTCATTTTGCTCAGATCAACCATCAACAATCATGTAAGCAGCAGTTAAGAAATCAAACAACATATTGCACAAGACCTCTTTAAAGTGTTGAAGAGCAGAGATGTCAGCATGAAGACTAAAGGTGCTCCTGACCCAAGCCATGGTATTTTCAATAACTTCATATGCAAGTGAAAGTTGACAGTGGATAAGGAAGACTGTAGAAGAATCAATGCATTTGAGTTATGGGGTTGGAGGAGAATATTAAAAGTACCATCAACTGCCAAAAGAACAAACCACTCTGTGTTAGAAGTACAGCCAGAGTGCTCCTTGGACACCAGTAAGTTCAGACTTCATCTCTCATATTTCGGGCATATTATCAAGAAGGACCAGTCCCTGGAAAAGAATACATATTTTGTACAGTGGAGGGTCAGAGGAAAAGAAGATCACCAATGAGATGGATTGGCACAGTGGCAGCAACAATTGGCTGCAACATAGTACAGGACTGGACTGTTTAATTCTGTTGTGCATAGGGTCCATATGAGTCAGTAACGACTTGATGGCACCTAACAATAACAACAATGATTTTGCAGCTATACTTTTGACTTACTTAATTTTCCTATACATAATTCAAGGGTGGCACTGTAGGATAAGGTCAGCAGTTCAAACTCAACAGCTGTTCCTCAGAAACCCTATGCAGGTCGCTATGAGTTGGAACCTACTAGACAGTACTTAACAACAACAGTAATTCAAGGGTATCTCTTCCCCAAATACATTTGTAGCTTCAATTTAATCCTAAACAAATGCTAAATACTCTGGATATTTTATGAATGATGACAAGATGATTTCAAAGTTTACATGGAAAATCATTGGTGCATAGCAAACTAAAACAAGTCTGAAGATGAAAAGCAAACTGGAAAGATTAGCCCTACCAAACATCACTGTTATATAAGATCATAGTAGTTAATACAGGATGAGTTTGCTAAAGGGATGAACAAATAGGACTGTGAAACTAAGTACAAGTAAGTATTCCAAATATGTTACTTCAGGATGATGGTGTTTATGCTGTTACTAACCCATCTTTTGCCCAGACAATTGCTAAATGTGATGATTGATCAAAAAATTTCCCCTCTAGCTTTCACAACAACCCAAAGTAGTTAAGGCTATGTGGTGCCTCAAGAGTCCACTGAAAACAGTAGTTAGGAAAAATTTCCACAGCATTGGGAACTTTAAAAAAAAACCCAAAACAATATTGAAGGTTTGGAAGCCCTTTTACTGAATGTTTAAAATTGTTGTGAGGCATTGTCATGCCTAGATGTAAATGTGGAAAAATGAAGAAACAAAAGAAAATTGAGATTATGGGGTGACTATGGCAAAATGGCAAACACCTGCATAAATGCATGGATAGTTGGAGTATTTACACAAGAATTGTTAAAAATTCCCTCACATTGAGTGTACTTCGTAAGCAACCAAGGAATATGAATCTATTACATCATCTGTCTTAATCCACACATCATGCCTCATGATGTTATGTATGTTCAGGACTCTGCATGCACTCTCAGTGCAAAAGACAAAATTAAAATGCAGCTTAAATGGTTCTTTAAAATTCAAGGATCCTCAAAGAATAACTAATCCAGTTACAGTTTTCCTTTATAGACTATCCTACCAACATAGCACTCACAGCAATTCAAACAGTTATATGTGGTGTTTAAAAGTAGGCTGATACTCAGCATCAGGGAATAGTTTGGTGGGCCATCCCCACATTTAAAATAAACTTCAGACAGGGTAAAACTCTTAAATAGCATACATTTTTAAAAAATGTTTTATTGTGAATTATGTGATAGTTTACATGGAAGAACATTAGTTTTACGTTCATCTTATCATATATCATTTCATTGCCATGGTTACAATCCCCTCCATGCATCATCAACCAACCAAACGGTATGCACTACAAGCCTGCTCATAGCACATAGCTCCTTTCCCTCTCTGTGTAAGTCCCCAACTGCTCCATCTCTCCACGTCATCATCTCTGCCTCCATCTCAGGCATCACTGCTTCTCTGGGTAGGGTCCAGCTCTCTGCTCTTCTCCCTTGATGGTCCCAGGGACCTCTGCTCCTAGACTGCAAAGTCAATCACTCCCCTCCTTTTGCTACAAAATATCTTCCTTTACATTTCCAACCCTCACAATCAGTCCTGATAACAGTTATTCACTATTGTATCACAAGAGACCTATCCGCATTTCATTTCTTCAGCTCTGCCTAGACAGATTGGATACTACTCAGTGGAGATTCTACCTTCTTTCAAATAGCATAATTTTAACTGTTAAACTTTAAAGGAATCTTTTGATATCTAAATAAAATTGTAATAAGTAAATAATTCAGTTGTTAAGACTTTTGCTTAGCTTTTACTTTGAACCATATGAAATTGCTGATTTCTTTATTTACAAAAGTAACAATTTCAAAAGATTTGACCTGTATACACAGGATTGAATGACAGCTGTGGAATAGTTAGGAATTAAAACTTACTTGGTTCTACACTGATATGTTGTTGTTGTTGTTAAGTGCCATTGAGTCGGTTCTGACCCATAGAGACCCTGTAGAGGGTTGCTGAGGAGCTGCGGGTGAGCTTGAACTGCCGACCTTGCAGTTCAAATGGCTTTGCAGTCTGGCGCTTTTAACCAGGACTCCACACTGATATAGGGCTTCAGAAAGATAAACTAGGTAAGCTAAGCTGTTACTTCTCCAGAAATTAAAAATACATATTTAATTGAGGTGCGCAATTTAAAAAAAATCTGAACATGTTGCAAAATATAGATAAATCCTTGTACTTGACCCAGAGAGGAAATAGGAAATCTTAACTCCAGTCTATACGAGAACCATACGTATTAATGTTACCCCACATATTGGCTTATGGGATGATATTATTATTTATAATATTCACTAGGTTTTCTAATGATACCAGTGATGTTTTTTATGTCCACATTGCCAACACGCAGGGACTTGTCATTAAGACATGCCGTGTTTGTCCAGTGATGGATGGTGGCAGGCCTTGAGAACACACTTTTTAGGCATTCACCCATTTATGAATTTTAAGAGTGCATTGTATCATGCTTTCATCTTGGTTTTTAATCAGGATTTTGTTTTTAAATGTATGAAATGTCAACGAGTAACCCCAATAAGAATTTCTAAATATTTAATGATAAAAATCCAAAAACCTAAACATTATCAGTTAGTTGGTTTTTCTTGCTCATACTTAATACTAGTATTTGGAAATTTTGTATTTAAGTACTAGACAGTGGCTAAATTTAAAAGTACAGTTGGTTGCTTAATCAAGTTAAAAATGTAATGTCCTGCCTGGACCCATAACCCTGTTTATGAATCGGAGTATCTGTTTTCAAATGATCTCATTAAATATGTTACTATGTGTGTAAATTTTCACATGAGCAGTTCAATTTCCCTATTTGTATTTGTGAATTTAGTTTAAGACCTCTTGAACTGCAATAAGATTGTTAGTTATTTATCTAAGTGGTACTCAGAATGATGTTAAGGTAGTTGTTGCTGTTTTCCAGGGCCAGTGACACAGTAGTCCTTTCCCAAAAGGAGCACCTGCCAGTCACTCAGGTCATGATGACAGACACTGGCCGACCGCATTCTGGAGCAACCTATACCCTGGGGCCTCTGCTCTGCCAGGGGGACAGTAAGTAGTGGCAAGTGCAACAATCTTTACTCCTATAGTACATGTCAGTGTTTTATGAGCAGTTTCGCTGACTAAAAACACCATCTACCCTAATCATCTATATGCCATTAGGAATGTATTAACTTAGAAGAACAACATATTGTTAATGTAATTGCAAAAAAATTATATTACCTCTATGTTATAACCTCTTATATATTTTTTCAAATCAGATTATTATTGTGAAGACTAATTGAATCATCTGAAGTGTTATTTCATACTCTCAGCAAACATTTAATGTATATCCACTGGGGTGGTGGCGCTGTCGGGTGAACCACTGGGACCGAAAGGGTGGTTTGAACTGCAAGACTGGCAATTCAAACCTACTAGCCGCTTCTCAGAAATCCTATGTAAGGTTGCTATGAGTCGGAATTGACTTGTAAACACTTAACAACCCAATAACAAGTACTGGACCCTTTGTTCAGTTGGTTGTCATAGTTATCTAAAGCTGCTATAACAGAAATAACTACAAATGAGTGGCATTAACCAACAGAAATTAATTTTCTCATAGTTTAGTAGATCCCTTAACTTTCTCTAATGACCTCATTTTACCAAACCCTTGTGTCAGAGTAGAACTGTGCTCCACAAAGTTTTCTGTGACTGAATTTTCGGAAATAGACCATCAGGCCTTTTTGAATCAATCCAGGGCTCCAATTCAAAGGAAAGGCTTTCTCTTTTGGTTCTGGGAGATGGTCCAGGTTTCTTCAGCTTCTATTCCCTGGTTCTTTGGAGATATTCTTGTAGCATGGCATCTGTACCCCCCACCCCCACCTCATTTCTGCTTTCTACTTGCTTATTTAACCTCTAGGTATGGCGCTGAGGGCTGATGTGCTGGACTGCAAAGTCGGTTTGAACCACAACGTTGGTGGTTCAACCTCACCAGCCACTCCTTGGAAACCCTATACAGGATAGCTATGGATTGGAACCAACTAAATGGGCACGTAACAACATATCTCAAAAAAGATATTACTTAAAGATAAACACTACCCTAATCCTTTTCATTAACATAACAAAGACAACCCATTCCCAAATAAGATTATAATAATAGGCATAGAGGTTAAGGTTTACAATACATGTTTGGAAGTCACAGTTCATTCATACATTTCATACTTTGGCTCCCTGGAATTCATGTTCTTGCCACATGCAAACCACATTCACCCCATCACATCAAAAGTCTTAAATCAGCTCCAAATCTAAAACCTCATCTTATAGATCATCTGAATACAATATGGGTGAGACTTTAGGCATATTCCATATTGGGAAACCGCCCCCCCTTTTTTTTTTCCTGTGGGATCTGGGATACAAGTTATCTGCTTCCACAGTACAGTGCTGGGGTTGCATAAGATAGACATTTACATTACAAATGGAAGACATTGGAGGAGAAGAAGGGATAACAGGCACCAATCAAGCCCAAAACCCAGCAGAATAATTTGCATTCAGCCTCAGGGATATGGAATAATCCTCTGTTCTCTGTGACTATCTGAATATTGGCCCTGCCCTCCAAACTGGGTGTTTGCTGTGCTCTCAGAAGACTCCTTGCTTTGGGCTTTAGCCCTGCCTTCCAGGCCCACTGGACTGACCATTCTCTTCCTTGCCCATCTGAGTGATACCCCTACTCCCTTGATTACTTCAGGCCTTATTTCTGTTCCTTGACCATGACAACACTGACTCTCAGCTTTGGGCAACAACCTATCCTCTTAGCCAAACTGAAGACAGCCTCACACTCCAGAACTGAGTTGGTGAGGTCTGATTCTCTGAAACCTAAGAGGCCATGGCTCAACTTTAAGAAACCTCAAAGGCTGTAACCTCACCTTTGCTCCTTCCAGCGGTTCTGCAGAGATCACCAAACTGCTACAGAGATGGTTCTTTTCTTCTCTTGTAGACAACAGATGTAGCTGCTTTTAGCCTGTTTCCTTCCTGTAGAATTCTAGGATGCAGACAGCATTCTTTCTTTTCATTCTATCTCTGTCTCTTTCAGTCCACACTGATGGGTTTTGTACTGCAATGTCTTCATTGCTGCATTTTCCCCACTTCCATTCACAAGTAGACCCAGGTGGTCACAAGCGAGCATATTATACTTCTCATGGGTTTCCTTTGAGTTTCAGTCCTAGAAGAGGGTTTTCCCTGATGGGCTGAATTGTCTTTCCTTGATGTCTCCAAAGCAAACAGCTTGCTTGATATTCCAACAGCTAAACAGTCTGCTTTTTTCCTGCAGGTCTTTCTTTCAATAAAAATCTTACGTTCTCCTAGAAGCTCTGATTTAGTTTGCATATATTTTCAAGTGGGAATGTCCCAACTCAGAAGGTTCTGAGTGAGGGTCAGGATACCATCTAATGGCCAATAATCTATACAGGCTTAACAGGAAGCCTATTTTCCTGGGCAAATTATATTTCCCCTTTTAGCAAATCCAATCTGTTACAGGCTGAAGGTGGGCTTACAGGCTTTCCAGAAGCACATTTAACATCCACAGTTCTGGCAACATTCTGTTGCTGACTTGAATATTTCTTTTCTACGATAATAGAGACTTTCTCTGTAGCTCTCTTTAGTTTCTTCTGAGCCCTCATCAGAACTGCCTTTGATATCCATAATTCTACTAATAGTCTCTTCAAGACAACTAAGCTTTTATTGTTGTTAAATGCCATTGAGTTGGTTCTGGCTCGTAATGACCCTGCATAGGGTTTCTGAGGAGCAGCTGGTGAATTTGAACTGCTGACCTTGTGGAATGTAGTCCAGTGCTTATCCTACAGCACCATACTAGGAGTCCTAAGCTTTTACTATTGTTGTTGTTATGTGCCGTGGAGTCGGTTCCGACTCATAGTGACCCTGTACAGGGTTTCCGAGGCTGTAAATCTTTACGGGAGCAGAAAGCCTCATCTTTCTCCCGCGGAATGGCTGGTAGTTTCGAACTGCTGACCTTGTGGTTCACAGTCTGATTCATAACCACTACGCTACCGAGGTCCTTAAGCTTTTACTATTAGGCAACATAAATTCATCTAGCCTCTACCCATACCAAATTCCAAAAACACTTTTACATTTGTGTTGGTTATCTAGTGTCCTGTGGTGGTAATGTAGGATAAAGCACTGACCACAAGGTCAGTTTGAACCACAAGATAAGTGGTTCAAACTCACCAGCTGCTCCTTGGAAACCCTATATAGGGTCGCTCTGAGTCAGAACTGACTTGGTGGTACTTAACAACAACAACTATAAGAGAAATACCACAAATGGATGCCTTTAGCAAATTTGTTCTCACAGTTTAGGAGGCTAAATGTCTGAATTTAGGATGCCAGCTCTAGTGGAACACTTTCTTTCTGGGGGAAGGTCCTTATTTGCTTTCAACACCCATGGGCCTTGCATTCCTTAGAGATCCCCATGTGTGTTGGCATCAGTCTTCCCCTGGGTCTAGGAGGTTCTAAGCACAGGGTCCCCAGAGTCAAAGGATGCGCTCCACTTCCAACTCTTCTTCCTTGGTGTAGTGAGGTTCCTCCCCTTTCTGCTCCTCATCTCTCCTTTTATATATGAAGCAAAGATATGACTTAAGAGTGTGACTTGAGTAAGGGTGTTACATATACAAGAGTTTGACTAGAGTCACACCCTCTTGTAAGGCTGTGTCTCAAGGTATACCTACATTTATCCTGACTCATGAACATATCCTGTTGTTAAGTGCCATCAAGTCAATTCTGACTCTTTGAGACCTTGTATGAGGTTTCTGAGCAGCTGATCAGTTTGAATCACTGACTTTGCAGTTAGCAGTTCACTGCTTACTCTACAGCGACACACCAAGACACCTGTTAAAATATTGAGGATAATTACATCATATCACAAAATGGGGGACAACAGTACAATCCTGGGAATCATAGTCTAGCCAAGTTGATACATATTTTAGGAGGACACAACTCAATCCATGATAGATAATTTAGCTGTTTGTTAGAGTAGCACCCCCACCTCTCAGTATCAAATTTTTAGTTACCTAGTGCTCCTTTAACAGAAATACCACAAATGGGTGGTTTTAATAAAAAAAATAATTTATTTTGCAACAGTTTAGAAGGCTAGAAGAATTAATTTACTGTGCTGGCTCTTGGGGCAAGCTTTCTCTCTCTTTTGGCTCTAGGGGTAGGTCCCGTCTCTTCAGCTCTGTCCCCTGGTTCCTTGGAGATCTCCATGTGGCTTGGCATCTATCCTCTCCCATTTCTGCCTCCTTGCTAGATTGTTTAACCTCTTGCATGTGTCAAGTTGGTGGTGTGGGTTTTGTATTGGATTGCTAATTGTAAGTAAGATCAGTGGTTGTACCCATCAACTGCTTCGTGGAAGAAAGATAAGCCTGTCTACTCCCATGAAGATTTTCAGTCTTGGAAACCCAATATAGGGTTACTGTGTTAGAGTCAACTTAATGGCAGGGGAATCTTTTTGGAGCTCTCTCCAAAAAGTAATTGACTCAAATCATAGCCTACATGAATTCTTCCTCATGAATATAACTAAGACAACTCATTCCAAACTCTTCTTTCCTGGTGTAGTGAGGTTTCTCCCTTACTACACCATTATAAGCACAAGCATGTTGTTGTTTAGTGCTTTGGAGTCAGTTCCATCTCATAGATACCCTTTATAGTGTTTCCAAGGAGTCACTGCTGGGTTTGAAATGCCAACCTTACCATTAGCAGACCAGTGCTTATCCTACCTTGTCCCACCAGGACTCCAAACCACAGGAGTAGAAGTTTGGATTTGCAATACAAGTTTTAAGGGGGGCACAATTCAGTCCCACAAATTTTAAGGGGGACACAATAATAGTGCTAATGCTTATAATTGGTAAGATAATTAGAAAATGAGACAACAGAGCATATGAAGATCTGTTCATCAGTCCTTCTGGAAATTCTGAATATCTACACTGGAAACCTGACTGCTTCTAACTCCACCTACATCTCTACTACCTTCAAATTACTTCCTATCTTCTTTTCTCTCTAAAGCTAAA